AATTTTCTCCAAAACAGCTGTTCATTGCCAGTTTGAAATGATACAGATAAAGGGAGAAGAAAAGAAAGAAAAAAATTGCTGCTGCGCGAACATTAAAAAAGGTGATGAATTAAAACTATAAGAGTAGATGAAAGCATTGGTTTAAAGAGAAATCTTTAAATGATGGCTTTTTGGATAGATGCTGACACTGGCATACAATTTAGAAGAACAACAAAGAATAGAAGGATAATTGAAATTGGACTAGAGCAACGGTAAAAGTACATTCAGCTGTTTATATGAACAGAAAATACAATAAAGAAGCAAAAAAAAAAAAGAAAGATGAAAAAATAAACCAAAAAAAAAGTATGACTAAGGCACTTATTTGTTGCTGTTACTCAAAATTTTGCTACTTCTGTGCAAACAGACCGTTTTGATCTTTTTTCTATTAATCTTTTTAAGTTAAAAAAGTAACAGTTTTTTGAGTTTTTGCCTGTTTTTAACTACTGCAACAGTATCAATATAGACTGTCGCTGTTTGTTGATACGTATCAGCTGACGCCCGCATACTTCGTTCATCTGATTTGCTTTCAAATCTGTATCAGCGGCAATCAGCTTCTCTGATTCAGCTAAGGGATACTGTTCTCTTCCTCTTTCTTCTTTTCTGCACAAATAGTTGTAAAAAAAAAATGGTTGAAATCAGACCAAATGTTTGATAAAAATATTAATTTTTTTGAACTTTTTTTTTTTTGTTTTTTTTTGTAAGGCAAATAATGTTCACAAATTACTAGAAAAGCAAAGAAAAAGAACTAATATTTACAAAAAACATGTTATGGTTTGTTTAAATGTTAAATTTAAACAAAGAAAATGCTATTAGAAAATGTGTTTAAAATTCTCAAATTTTTATTCTGGAACAATTATTCAGTCTGTCTATTAAACTGTCTGAATGCATTTTATTAGCGAAGCTTCTTTTTTTTTTCACCTTATGTAAACAATGCATTTCTGGTTCTACACCGTTGTATTTTTTCCGATCTTGGCCAGTAAAATTGTAGGTGGTAAGCTCTTAAATTCTAAACTTCTTCTTTTTGATAATGTATTTGAGTATAAAAACAAGCTGCTAAGCTGAAATACGCTGTTTTCCTTTCCTGGCCAACAAAACAGCATTAGTAAAGTCTCAGTTTTTAAAGAAACATTTTTTGAGGTAACTGATCTGTGGTTACTGTCCAGCAGACAATTTGTCTTGGTGTTACTGTTTTTTGCAAATCATCGTCTTTTCTTTGGTTTTTCGTCTATTAGTAGCTGACAAAAGTCTTTACTGCAATTACTGCTAATATGACTGTCAAACACCCAAACAAGGCTTACACAGTTTCAGATTTTCATACTTTTGAATACGGAAGAGAAACACTTTTTTGTATTATAATGTAAATTAGTTATGATTTACTACTGCTGTGGTTTGAAAACCTAACAGAATAAAAAATTACCTGATAATTAAAAACTAACAAAGTTTTATTAATCTATAATCATCGCTAAATTAACCTCTTTTAAATCACCTAGCTTAGACCTGAGATTAAATCTGAATTACATTGGTGCTTGTTTTAAAGCCGCTGTTAATAATATTTGATCTCTGTCTTAGTTAGACATCGATTTTCTAATGCCAGTCAGTATGTACTTTAATTTACTCAGTCGGTGAATCTTTACTTTTGTCTACAACTTTCGTCCTGTCTGCTATGCTTAATTTGATAGTTTTAAATAAAAAATTTTTAATTTTCAATTTACATTACCATCTGCTGAAAAAAAGATCTTTAGCCATCCAGTTATTTGTGCATTGACTGCATTTGTGTTAAGCTGTTCGTCAATTAATTTAACTGTTGTGTCTGGTAGAACAGATCTATGCTATGATTCAAGCATTATGCCGTACTAATGTAAATCTTCTTCCTTATTTGCTTCTTTCCTCTTCCTTACTACAATATAAAGTTAAAATTTAGGTGAGAAAACTGTTTTAAAAACTATATGTAAGAAGTTCTTCTATGGCATAGGATTTATTTCGTTGTCAACAAATTTGATAAAGAAAAGTTGTTGGGTTTACTTTTTCTGTTTTTCTTTTGAAGTTTTTGAATAAAATAGGAGAAATACTTATATTCAAGTAAGTATTTATTGTTTTATATTCTTGATACTATCTTTTTTTCTAGTTTTATACTCATATAACCTAAAAAGCTTTTTTAATAGATTA